TCTCCACGTTTTGTTTCACTTAAAACTTTTCATACTCTTTAGGATTTTTGTGCTTCCATATCCTGATTTACTTTGAGCACTCATGAGAATTGTGTGTGTGCGTATCTTAGTCCTGTCATGGAGAACATCTTGCAGATTCATAGTGTAATGCTTTTTTTTTTTCTCTTTCAACATCTTTGTCACTTGTTGGAATGTTATTTTCCTTTCTCTTTACCTGATTTAACCTCTGATTACAATTTTTGTCTGGGAAGCCTTCTCTGATAAGTCACCTGTCTTCTTCCTCTTCCTCCTCTCTTTCTTGTCTGATACTTCACCTTTCTGGTCTTCATCTTCCTTCTGTTTTTCTTTTTCTTTCTTTTTCATCTTCCTTCTCTTTTCTTTTCATTTTTTTGGGGGAGGGATTTTCATCTCTCTCTCTCTCTCTCTCTCTCTCTCTCTCACACACACACACACACACACACACTCACCACTCCAATTCATGGGATTTTGTACTTCATTGTAACTTATTTGTTTGTTAGTTTTTCATCATACACTATAAATTCAGTAAGGACTGGCTGATCCTGGTGTCTCACATGATGAGTGCTCAATACAGTAAGACACCAGTTTTTCTGTCATGTTGTACATTTTAATTTACATAAAACTTTTCAGCAGTGAATTACTGATAGCATAAAATGGAGGGGGGGGAACCAACCTTTTCCTTGCCTAGTGATAGTTTTTTTTTTATTTGCTTATATCTTAAAAGTTTTCAATTTTTCTTTGTTTCTATTGATTTAATGTTTGGGACTAAGAGCGTTTGAAGCTGAAGTGAAACCTCTAGTGACCAGTTGTGAATTGACATACTTTTCACCATTTACTTAACTGTGTTGGTCAAATATCTATTTCTAAAGTTCCACAGCTAAGCATTTAAACCAGCAGAATTGGCAGAGGAAATAGAAAAATCAGATGAATTTATTTAACAGTTATAAAGGAAAATCCAACTCAGTTGTGTAAATGAGGAAGCCATAACTGGTCAATAAATTGGTCATTTGTTTTTGTTCTATTGATGGAATGTTTGAGAGGCAAAATTGTATTCAGTTTAGAATTAAGCTTATGTTTTTGGTTCTCAGAGAGAGTTCCATCTTATGTATTTCCTCCCATTTACAAAAAAATAATAATAAAATTAGTTTATTGTGGTCTAATTAGAAAGAAAGCTTTCCCTAAATTCTCAGGTAGGTGTATCTTGGCTTCAAAACACACTGAATATGTCATGTTACACTAAAATAATAAACGTCCTTTAGGACTGCTAACCTCAAAATGAAAAGCCCTTCAGTGTGTACAGAATGTAATTGGTGTTTAACAATACTACTGTGCTGTGAAATGGTGACAAGTGAGCAATAACAAACCAATTTGTAATTTCTGCTTCTCATTTCTTAAATGCAATTATTTGCTTCATCATTAACTTGTGAACTAAGAAAACCTTGAAACAGCTGTGCTGGTATTTTATTTTCTTTAATAGGCAGAAATCTTAGATGATGTGTGTGTAGTTTTATTCATTTAATTTTTATAATGCCTTGGTTTTTAGGCTACAACTTTGCCTAACAGGCTGTGGCTTATTGATCGTATCCAACTTGCTGCCTGTTTCTGTTTAGGCTGTGAACTGAAAAGGATTTTATATTTTTAAAATTCAAACCAGAAAAATTCTATGACAGTTGGAAATTTTATGAAACTGTGATTTCAGTTTCTTCAGGCAAGGTTTTATTGGACCCAGGACAGTCATTTGTTATCTATGGCTACCGTTGCACTGTGACAACACAGTTGAATGGTTTCCCACCAAGCGTAAACTCTTCACTGTTCTTGGGCCAGATCCATGGCGAAGTAGGCTAAGCCTGCACCTATGGTACCTACATCCTGTGTGGGTACCTTTTTGTCCAGCTTGTGTTCTAGGAATGCAGGAGAAGATGGCTCAAATCCTCAGGCCCATGCTCCCACAAGGGAGATCTGGAACAGGTTCTTAGTACCTGACTTCAGAAAGGCCCAATTCTGGCTGTTGCTATTTGAGGAGTGAACTAGTGGATAAATGTGTGAGTGTGAACATGCATGCACATAAATGTGTGTGTCTGTTTCTCTCTCTCTCATTCAAAAGTATTATTTTAAGATTTATTTTTATTACAAAGTCAGATATACAGAGAAGAGGAGAGATAGAGAGAAAGATCTTCCATCCGATGAGTCACTTCCCAAGCAGCCACAACTGCCAGTGCTGTGCTGATCCGGAGCCAGGAGCCAGGAACTTCCTCCAGGTTTCCCACGCAGGTGCAGGATCCCAAAGCATTGGTCCATCCTTGACTGCTTTCCCAGGCCACAAGCAGGGAGCTGGATGGGAAGTGGAGCTGCCAGGATTAGAACTGGTGCCCATATGGGATCCCAGCGCGTTCAAGCCGAGGACTTTAGCTGCTAGGCCACACTGCTGGGCCCCAAAAATAAATCTTTAAAAAGCCTTTATTGCTCTGTCCTTCATAGAAAATGCTTGCTGACCTTTGAGTTACACTAGTGTGGACTTAGAAATTTAACAGAGAAATTGCTTTGAATATAACTGTTCTCACTTTCAATAAATCAGAGAAAAGTCAAGTAATTATTGCATGGAATCAGTATAACAGAGAGTGACAGAGAGATACAGACAAATCTTGGCCATCTTTTGGCTCACTTCAAAATGTTACAATGGTGGTTTCACCTGTGGATGAATCCAGGAACTAGAAACTCAATTTTGGTCAGCCACATGGGTGGCAGGTGCACAGTCACTTCCGCCATTATTGCTACATCCAGGGTCTGCATTAGCAGAGAGCTAGTCACCAAGGGAACTAGTGATCAAACCTATGCACTTATGTATGGGCTGTGAACATCCTAACTGCTGTATTAACTGCTAAGTGAAATTCCTACGCTTTCCTTACTTTTTTGCATTTGTACAAAGGTATGTCTTAATCAGTTATGATTCTAACAGCTTTATAACTCTTCTAAATTCCTATAGTAGCAATATGAGCTTCACAGCTTCTACAAATGAGAAAACGACAGCACACTGTAAGGTGAAAGTTAAATGATCAGTTAGTGGAAGGGCAGTTGCGCAGCTGTTCATGGGAAGTATATAGTTAATAAGGGACAGAGTGATGGCTTGAATATACTCAATTGCTTCCCAAGTCAGTAATCTGTATCTCTGTCATATACTGACGTTCTGTGCCTGCTTCTAAAAGCCTTGATTAGGATTAAGAGGGTGCTGCATGAGACGTCTACCTCCCATCCCAATTAAAGTCATGGTTACTTCTCCCCATTCCCCTACCCCCCATCCAGATTTCTGATAATGTACTTGGGAAAGAGCAAATTGTGGCTGAGTTGTTGAATTGCTGCCACCCATGTGAGAAGCTGTGGGTTGAATTCTTGGCTCCTGGCTTCAGCTTAGTGTACCCTTGGCTTTTGCAATTATCTGGGAAATGAACCAGCACATGAAAGATCTCTGTCTTTCCCAGTCTCTGTCACTCTTCCATTAAAATAAATAAATAAATAATTTTTTTAAAAAAGAGGAGGGGCTAGTGCTGAGGCATATCAGATTAAGCCTCGACTTGCAGCACTGACATTCCAAATGGGATTTATGTTCCAGTTGCTCCACTTCAGATCCAGCTCCATGCTAAGGACGTGCAAAAAGCAGCAGAAGATCCTGCTGATGGCCTGGGAAAAGCAGCAGAAGATAGTCCTATTTCTCGGGTCATTGCACCCATGTGGGAGACTCAGAAGAATCTCCTGGTCCCTGGCTTTGGCTGGGCCCAGGCTGGGCCTTTGCAATCTTTTGGAAAGTGAACCAGCAGATGGAATATATCTGTTGTCTCTTATCTCTGTCTCCACTTCTCTCACAGTAACTCTTCCTTTCGTATAAAAATAATTAAATCTTTAAAGGTGAGGATTTAAAATACACTGGGCATAGTGTTTTTATAACTGATTTTCTTATTGGTTATTTAGAGCTTCTATACTAAAGTACCACAATCTCAGTTTTAGAGGCCAGAAGTTAAAAACAAAGAAAGCGAAAGTTAGGATCCATGTGAGGCTCTGGTTACTCTGCCTTGCCTCTTCAGCTTATGCTGCTGATCAGAATCCTTGGTGTCACCTGGCTTGTGGGCTCATCCTTTCAACCTCTGACCCCATTATTGGGATATGGTTCTTGTGTGTGTCTTTTATCCTCTCCTTCCAAGGATACCAATCATATTGTAGTAAGGTCTCATCCTACTCACTTGTGTGACTGTGTCTTAATTTAACCTGCCGTTTCTGCAATGGCCCTATTTCCAAAGGAGGCCCTGTTCTGAGCCTCTTCAGAGGGTGTGAATTCTGAAGGGACACTGCTCAATCCAATGCAGAGCTGAGGGGCTAGATACTGATTTCTAGAGTACTCCCTCCTCTTTTTACTTACAGAAACCCTTACATGAAAAGTAGAACCTGTATGGCGTGCATTTTCAGATCTATCTTTCTCCTCCTCCTGCTTGTACTTCTTTGGTTTAATCCTGTGCTACTTTGTGTTCTATCTGATTTCCTATTGTGAGTTTTCCAATTACTAGTCTTACTTTTTGCCATTTCCCCACTTCCTATTGTGCCTCTAGCTCATATCTTTGGAGCCTGCTTTTATTTTTTTCTGAACATTTTCTTCTTGAACATTCTATGATTTTAAAGAGATATGTCTCTTTAATTATAACATGAAACAAAATGGGTTTGTCTTCATTTCTGTGAATTTGTGATGGTTGACTCAGAAGCCAGCTCACTGTGTACTAGTGACTGAGTTCTGGAACTGTTCTTATAAGGATCTTTTGTATCCAACCATAAGAAATTTGTAAGTAATGTTCAATATTGGCTTTTTTTTTTAATTTACCATGATTTTAAGATGTTTGACAATGCTTCACATTCCAAACCTGGATTATTCTCTCTCCCCTGAAATTGCAAGAATTATTGGTCCAATTGAATCAACTCATTTCTTCTTGTGTTTTTTGTAGGGTGCACGGGAAACATTTGAAAACTACTACCGAAAGCAGAGGCGAAAACAAGCTCGTCTGGTACTCCAGCCTCCATCTAACATGGTGGGATTTTCGCCTTCACTGTTGCTGTGTTTCGACTTCTCTTTTCTGATATTTATTGATGTGTGTGTGTGTTTGTGCGTTGACTATTATTCTAAGTCCAGATTTCATGCATGTGACTTGCAGTAAGGACAGCGATTACCATGTATGGATTGTCGTATGTCAGATGTACTGAGTACTAGATATGTACTGTTCCATCCTTGTTCTACATGATAAGTACTATTTTCATACTTAGCACTTAGTCTAGAGAACTGAACCTTAAGAGATTCAACCTTGATATTAACTTTGTTTTGATGTAGCAAAACTGAAACTTTTTTCTTTGTTTTTCTTTTCCAGCATGAAACTTTAGATGGCTACCGAAAGTATTTTAATCAAATTGTAGGGTATGTATATATGTGTGTGTCTGTGTGTATTTAAATTGAAATACTTTAAATTCATAGATTTTTGTTATTTGGAAAAGTAGATCATATTTTTCTTGAAAAGTTCTGTTTTTCTTCCTTCTTAAATCCTCAAGACAAAGGTTCCTTTTTTATTTTCTGTTGGAAAAGGAAAGTCTTGACACTTCCGGTGTTATATAGTGGAATAAAAGTGGATAAAGGAAGAAAAACACTAAGTTATAATCTTATTATACTTGATGTTTGACTTTTCCATTCTTGGTAAGGTAGAACCAAATCATCAGAAAGGTTGACAAACATTTTCTAAAAGGGCCAAGCAGTCAAGTATTTGAGACATCATAGAATATACAGACTTTTTTCCAACTCTTTAGATTTGTTGTTCTGGTACAAAAACAGCTATAACATTACATAAATGAGTACACAAAGTTGTATCCTAATGAAACAGTCTTATAAAAAGGCAGAACCCAGTTTGTCCTCTGGGCTGCATAGTTTGTTGCTCTCATCTAGCTCATATGCAGTGGCATGGAATTGCAGCTTCCAAACATCCCAAATATAGCCAACTTGTGTAGTTGTACAATAATGATTGAAATAAGGAGAAATAATAGATTATTATGTTTTTCCCTTTCTGTTGTTTGCCAGATTTAGGCTATTTTCATGTAATTAATAGTTTTATTAAAACAGTCATAACACTCCTTAATTAAAAATTATTTTAATTAAAATGAACATTTAGGCAAAAAGGCTGAAAGTGCATGTTAAATGTATAGTAATAAAAAGCCACAACAAGGATAGTAAAGTTAGTCTGCATTAGTTTAACCTTATAAAATGCTTTTGCAACATTTTACTTTGAGTCCACATAAGGGAGATTATTTTGTTGATTTGTATGTTGGTTACATGTAATATTTCAGCTTTTGTTATCACTTTAAAATCGATTTACTTTGTGAAAAAGTAATTTCACTAATTTTCATTGCCTATTTTTTTAAAGATTGACTCATTTTTGAGAGGCAGGTTTACAGAGAGAAGGAGATACATACATATATATATGTGTGTGCCTGTGTGTGTGTGTATATATATATATATACATACATATACACTTGCACATCTATCTATCTATCTATCTATCTATCTATCTATCTATATATATATATAGAGAGAGAGAGAGAGAGAGAGAGAAAGACAGAGACAGATAGACAGAAAGAGAATCCCCCATTAGCTGATTCACTTCCCAGTTGGTGGCAATGGCCAGAGCTGAGCTAATCCAAAACCAATAGCCAGGAGCTTCTTCCATATGGACTCGGCGACCAAAGGAGTTAAGCCATCTTTTGTTGCTTTTCCAGGCCGTGGGGAGGGATCTGGATCAGAAGTGGAACACTCAGGACTTTAACTAGTGCCCATGAGGGATGCTAGCACTGCAGTTAGAGGATTATGTACTAAGTCACTGTGCTGGCCCCTCTTCCATTTTAAATTATCTATTCAGTGTAGAATTGGTTAAGAAGACATGAACACAGATATAACTCATAGTTAAATAAGTATGAATTCATTTATGATACTGAAAAAATTTTTAAGGAAAAATAATGTTAACTTTTTGAATTTGATGGCAATTCTTAATGTCTGTCCAACCCTAGAGATAGTAATTACACTGTAATTTTTGACAGCTGTACTTTCTTTTCTTCTCAATCTTAGTTTTTTTGTGGTTGAAGATCATATTTTACATACAACCCAAGGCTTAGTAAATAGAGCCTACATTGATGAATTGTGGGAAATGGCACTTTCAAAAACCATCGCAGCACTTCGTACACACTCGGTATGTATGAAACCCAGGGGAAGTTCACAAGAAAAGCTCACTCTCTATATACTGTACTAGATCTTACTGATATACAATCAACATAAATATGATCTTTGAAATGTCTCATGTGTAGATGTATGTGTGTATATATGTTTGAATGTGTACATAAATATGTGATTATCATTATCTTATATCTACATGTTTATCTATCTATAGATCTACATCCTTCAATGGTATGGGAGTAAAGCCCTGACTTTTCTGATATTTCCAACACTGATCTCTTATTTGGGGAATGCTTATTGCAATAAGAAAATAGCAGCTAGCATCTGTTACTGCACTGTGTCAGCCATTCTTCTATGTACTTCATAAGCTGTCTCCTTTAATCTCTATAATCCCATTCATATGAATATTTTTGTTTCCTTATTTTACACTGTATGGAGCAGAACCGAACCATAGAGAGCTTAAATTAATAGTCTAATGACACAGAGTTTGAGGTGGAACCAAGATTCAGGTCCAGATAGTCCTTTTTCTTTCCCACTGCTTTATGTTGCCTTATGTAATACCTTTTGATGTACTTTTGAGTTCGCAATTTTACTTTTTGGAAAAAAAGTTCCAAATATTAAGTCACACAATTCAGTAGCGTTTGCTGTCAGAGGGTTGTATTTTAATTGGAGGCGATACTCAAACAAATAAGAATGTTAGACAATGGCAATATAATTCAAACAGCTAAAATAAAGTGATAGGTTAGGACGATAGATATTTGCTTTTCTGATTTGTTTGAAAGAACTGACCTGTTTAGGTCTGAATATCAAAGTCGTCATTTTTGCAAAGACAACTAAATGAGCATTTTAGGCACAAGAAATAATGTTTTGAGGACTTCTATGTCTAAAGTGATTTACAAATAATAATGAAGGATTGATAATTTTTGACCATCTTTTAAAATTTACTAGATAGCCCTATTGTCTATCTAGTTGTGCTCACTAGAGACTTCAAGTTTTCCATGACTAGTCACCTGTTTCAGATAGTAAATACTGTCTGCAAAATCTATAACTGAAGGTAGCCTAGCTTAAAAGGGCTGGATTTGAGAGAAGTCTAGAATAGAAAGACCATAACTCACAGAAAGCTTTGTAAGGTACGAGGTGAGAATGGAGAAGTGTGCAGATGCCATATTGTTTAGAGCCTGTTAGACTCTTTTAGCAGTGGGCTGTATGTGTTCATGTGTGTACATATGAGTATTTGTTGTGGCTGTGGAGTAAATTAGAGTGGAATGCTCAGATTTACATTTTGAGATTTTTTTTAAAGCTCTACTTATTTATTTGAAAGGCAGTTACACACACAGAGAGAAGGATCTTCCATCTGCTGATTCACTGCTTAAATAGCCATAATTACCATGGCTGTACTAGGCTGAACACAGCAGCCATGAGCCAGGAGGTTACTTTGAGTTTCTCACATTGTTGCAGGGGCCCAAGCACTTTGGCCACCCTCTGCTGCTTTATCAGCTTTTTGTGGCCATTAACAGAGAACAGCCAGGACTCAAACTGGCATTCATATAGGATGTTGGAGTCTCAAAGTGGCAACTTAACTTGCTACAAGGCAATTTTGCTCAGAGAAAATTTTTCTTGCTGTAATGTAGATAGTGGCTGGTGAGTAAAAATGGATTCATGAGTAGTTAATAGAATGATCTGGCCTGTCTAATAAGAGTTGATAACTTGAATCATTTGCTGGTAATAGTAATAGCAGTAGTAGGTATGGAAAGTTGTTGATGAGGTCATGATTTTTAGGAACTTAGACTAACTGAACTTTGTTAGGGATTAGATATAAGAGTTGAGAGAGGAAAAAGTATTAAGAGAAAGCCTAGGTTTATGAGTTTATTCCTTGCATGATAGTGGTTTTGGTATTTAAAGTGAGGAGATTGTTTTCTTTGAAAATGATTACTTTGAGATGCCTCTGTGCCATTTAAATAGCAAAGCCTAGAGATTGATTAATATATAGGTTTGAAGCAAAGAGAATATGTGAATGTTGATTGTGTTATATGTATTTATCTGCTTTTTGTTGCTTTGAGAATAGGAGAGAGAGAGAGAGAATGCTACCACCATGTGCTGGCTTGCTTTCCAAATGCCTGTAATGAATGACTAGACCAGGACCAAAGACAGGAGCTCAAATCCAGTTTAGTACTTGCATATCAGTGGAAGGAATCCAGCCACTGGAACTGTCAGCCCTGCCTCCCAGGGCCTACCTTTGCAGGAAACTGTTGTCAAGAGCTGGAGGCAAGAAGTGTTTATCTATATTCATCTTCTTCTGAATTTCTTACCATTGTGTATATTTGAGTGCACTTCACCTTATACTTCTCCATTTTATTTTGTTGATACAAAAAATTGGGAGAAATTTGAAAATATGTTTTTAAAAATTCCTGCCTCTTCTGAAATCAAAACAAATCACTTGTCTAATTTTTTAAAATTTATGTTATTGGAGAGGGATACAGAGCCAGAGAGTTCTTCATTCACTGCTTCACCCGGCAAATGTCCTCCATGGCCTGACTCCCTGAAGCCAAGAGGCAGACACTCCGAGCAGGTCTCCCTTGGTGGGTGTGACAAAAGACCCGACTAGCTGAGCCATTGCTTGTTAGCTCTGTCTTGAGTGCACAGTAGCAGAAAGCTGGAATCAGAAGAAGAGATAGGGCATGAACCCAGGCCACTGAACTATTTTATGGCCAAGATTTTATGCTTTTATATATTTATAGCCACCTGAAATTTACTTTCTTGTGTGGTATGATTAATGATTTTATGATTTTGAAGAATATATCCATTGTCCATTTTTTGAATATCTTACTTCTCTCCCTTGAATGTATGTTTTGATATATAAATGCAAGGAAAATGCTTACCCTAAGAGAAAATTTTGGTTATTAATCTCTGGCATGTTTATTCTTAGGTTTTCTTAGGTGTAAATTAAATGGCTGTTTTTCCAGCACTTCCTAATACTGATGGTATGTTTTAATTTAACATCTAATAAGTTAGTTTTTATTTTAATATATACTTGCATGATATTTCACTACAGAAATATTTTAAGTATGCTACTTTCAGACCTTAAAATTATTCTTTATTGTATTTTATTTTATTATATGATTGAACAATTTTCACAGATTTAGGAGCATAGTGATACTTCCTAGCCCCTCTTTCCCCGACATCTGCCTGAGTTCCCATCCACCTACCTTGACCTTCATTTCTAAAAATTTTTTACAATAGAGTACTTCATTTCACTTTGAAATTACAGTCTTAATACTCTGTTAGGTAAAGAATTCAACAACTAGCAAGTAGAATAAAATGTTATTTCTGAAGAGTGCAAAGACTGTAAACAATAATCAAATCTCAACATGTCAATCTCCAATTGTTTTTCATCTATTAAAACCAGTGGATATTTTTTATAAATATTTTTCACTTAATCATACTTAGGAATAATTTTAAGAAGTGAAATTAGTGAGTTAAATGATTTTTGTATTTCTTGTGTTTTGCATATTGCTAATTTCATTATGAAACTATTGAACTATTTTAGCACTCAGAATAGCATTTGTTTGAAGGTCTGTTTTCCTATTTTATTCCACAAAAGGTTATATTTAAAAATGAACAAAAGTCATAAATTTGTATGTTTGAAACTGTGGCTGGTACTGAGTTAAGTTGACTGTGCCCCATATCAGAGTACAGGGTTTCGTATCTGCATTTGGTTCGCAGTAGCAGCTTTCTGCTGCTGAGGAAGTGATGGCTCACATACTTGTTGCCTGCCATCCACATGGGAGAACTTAATTGTATTCTTGGCTTTCATGTTTGACCCCTGGCCATCATGGGCATTTGAAAAATGAACCAATGGGTAGGAACTTTCTCTGGACACTGCTCAAAAATTTTTTTGACAGAGGAAAAAAAATTAAATTTTGAAAAAATTTGTCTTATTTTGCTAAGCTTTTCTTTGAATAATGTTGGTATTGAAAATTTCTCCACATGGTTTTAGTTACATACCTTTATGTACATTCCTCTTTTCATTGTTTTTATTTTATATTTTAATAAATTAAATTTTCTTATTAATAAAACTTAGCTATTAGGATTTAATCTGAATTTTAACCTCTAGTCTGATATAAGTGCTTTTATTTTCTGGATTTTCTTAATTTTGCTTTTTTCCCCTTTAGTTTTATAGAAATTCAAAATTTTCTGTATAATTATGTTGGTTGATTTTATATTTATGACTTCAGTATTCAAAAAAATCAGTAAGTTTTTGTTATATTTGATTTTATTATTTCTTGTTTTTCTTCCCTAAAAAAAATCACAAGTATGAATATTGCCTTTTAGCAAGAGACATGAAATTGGACTCTAACTTCACCTATTTTGAAAATAGCACATCGCTTTCTACATTATTGTGATTCTGTTTCTTAGCTTGGGCTGCTGTAGCAAGAACTGTAGACTGGGTGACACAAAACAACTGAAATGTGTGTTTTCCCAGTTTCAGAGCTTGAATAGCAGAGCTTAGGTAGCCATCCTGGGTGGATTCTTTGAGAGCTCTCTTTGTGAATTGCAGACAGCTGGGTGTTGCTCAGCTGTTGATTCCCCTTCCTGGTAATGTGCCTGGAAAGCAGCAGATGATGAGTACAAGCCACTCATGTCAGAGACCTGGATGGAGTTCTTAGCTCCAGTCCTAGCGAATACGGCCATCTGATCAGTGAACAGACAGATGATTCTCCTTGTTGCTTCTGTTCTTGCTCTCGCTCACTCTAACTTTCAAATAAATAAACTTATTGTTCAAAATATTGCAAGTGTGCCATTATGGTTGTTAATAATATAAATAACAGAAGCAGAAGGATATGCTGAATACATGTGTTTTCACGTAACTTAAATTCTGATCAGATAAAAATGGGAGAAATCAAACTGAAACTGGAAGCTATGTAAATTGTCTTCTATTGGCCATAAAATTATAACAAGATTTATTTGGACTTGAAAAAGAAATTAATCAGAGAAGCAAAAATAAATTAAATATGGTATAGATAGAGGAAGATTTTACAGGAGACATTTTCCAAAAAGCACCTACGAAGTTCTGAATTTACAGTAAAAAAAAAAAATACAGCGAGCAAGGATCAAGCTTGAAGGATATCATTGCTTCAATGTCTACTTTCAAAAATCCTGGACTAACTAGATTTCTACTATTGCTACTTAAACAGCATGATTAATCTGTTCCAACGGTGCTCACAGAGCATGTAGTCAGATTTTTTGGGGAACATACTGAAAACTATAGGAGAGGAAATTCATGCTAATTATGCTAATCAACCCCTTCCTTCATTCTAAAATATGAACAACCACTAGTCATAAAACATTTGAAGAGAATCAATTATATAAAAAGAAGATAATAAGAAGCTATTTAAGCAGCTATTCTTTAGCAAATATGAGTAATTTGGTGCCTAGCAGGAGAATTTACAAAATAATGATTAGTTCTTTTTTTTTTTTTTTTTCTTTTTAACCCATTTTTTTTTTTATTGTTGCTTACATTGTATTATGTAGTACAGTTTTATAGGCGCTGGGGATTCCCTCCACCCCTCCCATACCCCTCCCCCCATGGTGGATTCCTCCACCTTGTTGCATAACCATAGTTCAAGTTCAGTTGAGATTCATTGCTTGCAAACACATGCCTAGCATGAAGTTCAGCGTCTTATTGTCCAGATAAGTTCAGTGGCCTCTTGGGGAGACCTTCTATGGTCTGAAGATAGGTCTAACAGAGTAAAGATCCGGTCAGTTAAAAGCCCCAACAAGGCCTCAATATCAATATACAACATTATGGAATTAATTGACATAGTATTGGGTAAACAATATGTTAAAAATAATGCAAGTTCCATTCTTCGAAACCTCTGGGTTGAGACAGTATCAATGACAGGTTCAAAAAATAACAAACAACCATACAAAAATTACAGGTTAAATCAAGGCAAACATGTGGTATCTAATCTTTTGGGATTCACTCATTTCCCTTAGCATTATAGTTTCCAGTTGTGCCCATTTAGCCACAAAGAACTGCATTTTGTTTTTTTTTAATAGCTGAGTAGTATTCCATGGAGTAGATGAACCAAAGCTTTCTTATCCAATCTTCTGCTGATGGGCATTTCGGTTGCTTCCATGTTTTTGCAATTACTGATTGTGCTGCAATGAACATAGGGATGCATGTTGGTTTGTCGTAAAACAGGTGTTTTGGATATTTTCCTAGGAGTGCTATTGCTGGGTCATATGGTATGCAGATTTTGAGTTGTTTGAGTGTTCTCCAGACTGATTTCCATAGAGGCTGTACCAATTTGCAGCTCCACCAGCAGTGGAGTAGGGTTCCCTTTTCCCCGCATCCTCGCCAGCAAGCGTCGTTGGTGTTCTTGTTTATGTGGGCCAATCTTGCTGGTGTTAGGTGGTACCTCATCGATGTTTTAATTTGGATTTCCCTTATTGCTAGGGAGCTGGAACATTTTTTCATATGTTTGTTTGCCATTTGGACTTGTTCCTTTGTGAAATGTTTGCCCATTTCCCGTGCCCATTGCCTGAGTGGCTTGTTCGTTTTGGTTTTTTGGTTGTTTTGATTAGTTCTAAATGTAGAAGTATAGGAGGCTATATTAGTAATGTTGAATTAGTTTGTGTGTGTGTCTGTGTGTCTGTGTGTATGTGTGTATTTAACACATAATTGACTATCAGTATGAGAAGAAGCATAGAGCAAAAAATTCAGGCTCTGTTAATTAACTTGTCACAATGTGAACACCTGTACCATGAATCTTTTAGGAGATATTATCATATGTGTAAACTATGTGAAAAAATAAATAAAACACATGAAGTAACTGCGTATGTTTAAAGGTGTTAATAATTCCTACAAAAGGTGCGCAAACTGTTCCTAAAGTTTTTTTTTAAATGATGACTCCAGATTATTTCTTGTAAACATTGAGTGGAAGAGATATGACTAGTTAACAGTTATTAGCTGATTGAAAGGTTCTGATCCAAGTAGAAAGAGTGCATAAAAAGTGAATCATTATATAGAGAAAACTTAGGATAGCTTGGATAAAAAAAAAAAACAGCGATTTTTTTGGTCACATCGGTCTTGATTTTACAAGTTGGTTTTGTCTCTCTCCATCTCTGTTTTTCCACTCCCTCCTCCTATCTAATAACTAATTAAATAAATGATTGAATGGGTGAATAACTGTTTTATATTATGGTTATTAGGAGCTATCAATAAAGCAAAACTAATCAAAGTAAGATTTGTGAATTAAGAGTGATATTTATCCAAAACATTAAAATCAAAGAAGAAAAGAAGTGACATTATTCTACAAGAGAAATAGAATTGTATTTTAAATACTAAAATTAGGGAAGCAAGGTCAATATTTTGTGTTAATGGTAGTTTTTACCTGCTGGAAAAATAGTTGCCCTTTTACAAGGGAGAGTTGTATATAAGATAAAAACTGTTGATAATAAAAATAAATAATTGGACTGCATCGTTGTTTCTTAGTTATTCCTTTCTGGAATTGAGAGATCAAGTAATGAAATAATAATTGAGGGAATTTGACCTCAATATGAATTAAGTGTTAAAATAGTCATATACATATTTTATCATGTCTACAAAAGCTCTTTTTTTCTCAATTATTTTTAATTTGCTTGTATTAGTTTATACTTTTTTAAAAGATTTGTTTATTTTTATTGAAAGGCAGATATACAGAGAGGAGGAGAGACAGAGAGGAAGATCTTCCATCCGATGGTTCACTCCCCAAGCGGCCGCAATGGCTGGAGCTGAGCTAATCCAAAGCCCAGAGCCAGGTGCTCTTCTGGGTCTCCCACACAGGTACAAGGTCCCAAGGCTTTGGGCCGTCCTCAACTGCTGTCCCAGATCACAAGCAGGGAGCTGGATGGGAAGCGGGCCTGCCAGGGTTAGAACCGGCGGCCATATGGGATCCTGGTACATGCAAGGAGAGGACTTTAACCACTACGCTATTGTGCCAGGCCCAGTTTATACTTTTTATTTTCTTTTTCTGCATATTTTTCTTTTACATTTTGTATTGTTCAGTGCTGTCTTACATTTGTTGTTTTTCTTACCTAAGACTTTGTTATTGATCGTATTTTTAACTTAGGGTTTTATCTTAGTTAATAAAATATTTCATATCTTTTCCATGCATTGATTTCAGGCTTTAATTTTATCAATTTTATTTTCTTATTTGTAATTTGACTTTCCTAGTTTTGTAAGTCCAATGATTCTTTATTTTCAATATTGTGTGTTTTTTTTACACACATAAGGTATATATATGTTTTAAAAGGTGTTAACCATATTCCATAGGTTTCTGATAAGTATTGCTGTTAACAAAATTACTGCAAAAGTTTTTTTATTTTTTTTCTTTAACTTAAATGTTATTTGGAAGTGTGTTTTTGGATTTCCAGATATTAAAAATGTACATCATGGTTCCTGAAGTTTTTCTCTGTGGTTCTTTTGTGGCTGAATCTGATGTTACCTTATCCCAATCAAGAGTTTTACTTTTTCTAGAATAGCCTCCACTGGTGAAGTATTAAGCAATTAAATAAATGAAACTTGGGTTATATCTTTTAAAATTGTTTTCCCTCTTTCTTGTGTTTCCTGTAGTCTTACTGCTCTGACCCAAACCTTGTGTTAGACTTGAAGAACCTCATCGTGCTTTTTGCCGATACACTTCAGGTATGGAAGTCTTAGGACCAAGTACTTTTTTCTCATCTACAGAATCTTGGATAAGTGCCTTTCAGCTTCTGGTTGTGTTCATTGTTTTACTAGAGTCATATTCTTTTCTTACCATCTTTTTTTTTTTTTATTACATAGAGTTTACTCTGACCCTTTTTGTTTTCATAAGTAATTCTCAACCCTTTTTTTCTCTCACATCAGATTGACTAATTGAACCACTCAGACCTGACGTTTCTCAAAACGTTCTTAATTTAGATATGCTGCTGGGCGATGTTGTAGTTTGCTTATCTACAAGCATAAGTAATGATGATTGAGGTGAACCACTTGTTATATGCAGCGAATGAGCCTTAGAAATGGATTGGATTTTTTCTGTCACTGCTTCTCTCCCTACTCTGATGGTTGCTCTAGGTAGTTAGAATTACAAGGTGGAGTTGTAGGGAGAACTTACCTCACAGTCTCCATAGTGTATGCTTAGATTGTAATTTATTTCTTTTCTTAGAATCTTGCTTAGGTAAGTTGATATGTATCTTTTAATTCTTTTTAAATTACTTTTCGCCCAATGAATTTGAGAGACCAAGACAGAGGTAGCTCAAGCTTATTTATTCAGTCCTGAAAGTCTCACATGGGGTAGTATGTAAGGACTGATGCTAAGAGCCAGAAAAACAAGTATTTGAGCCATCATTTCTTGCCTCCCAACATGCAAATTATCAGGAAGCTGAAATCAGAAATGGAGCTGGGAACATAGGCATCCAGTATGGGGTGTGGTTGTCCTAGTCGGTGTCTTGCCCATCCCTGTCAAGAGATGAACACTAGGTGTTAGTTGGCAATGAAAGATTCTGTAATAATGTTTTCATTTAAATTTTGGCCCAAAGAGCAAAATTTCTCATGTTGTTAAAAAAAAAGTCATCTTAGAAAATAAAGCTGTTTTCTTATCTTGTTTCAGGTGTATGGTTTTCCTGTAAATCAGCTTTTTGATATGCTGCTAGAAATCCGAGATCAGTATAGTGAAACCTTGCTGAAGAAGTGGGCTGGCATTTTCAGGTGAGGAATTCGTTATAGTCTCTTGCGTCTATGTATAGCATGTGTCTGTATACATTTAGTTACAGGCAAGATTTTCCAATGTGATAAACACCAAAAGTATGTAGCTGTTATTTTTCTGACTTCCCTGAGTTTTAATCTAGAGTTCGAGTGAATTGTAATCCTGTTTAAAATGATATTCTCAAGCTGTCTTATCTCACTGTGTTACTGTCTACAGTATTGAGAAATGCCTAAACCTTTTTGGCACTTTTGTTTTCTTGGATGCATTAATAAATTCCTTTGTTCAAACCTTATCCTCTTGTGTCTTCTTCTGTTTTCGTTTGTGGTGTGTGTGACTTTGTTTTTTCCTTGGAATCATGAAGTGATACATTTGAGTCTTTATGAATTATTTGTGTTCTGGGACACTTTTGTTGAGGACTAGTCATCTTCCTTAAAACAGCATGCATATAATAGTAAATTTCTGTTTTACCTTTCCCACTCAGAAATACCTCTGTGGATGATTTTCTTGGCATATACTTTATGTCAGTTGATTTGAGTTCCTTTTCTTTAGTTCCTTAGTTCTTTAGTTCTTTAGTTCTTTAGTTCTTTAGTTCCTTTTCTTTAGTTCTTAGTTCTTAGTTCCTTAGTTCTTTAGTTCCTTTTCTTTGAGTTCTAATTCTTTACTTACTGTAAGTGATCTTCCTGACTATTGAAAGTTAATTTTTACCAATAAGCATACTTATTTTCAAATTCTTAACTTTAAGCTTTCAAAGCTTTTATTGTTGCTTTAGTCTTTCTTAATATAGTTTTTAAAGAAGATTTACTCATTTTTATGAAAGGCAGAGTTACAAAGACATAGGGAGAAGCTGAGAGAATGAGAAAGAGAGCTCTTCCATCTCTGGTTCACTCTTCAGATGGCCACAACAGCCAGGGGATGGGCCAGGCTGGAACCGGGAGGCAGGAGGCAGAAGCTTCATTTGGGTTTCCCATGTGGGTGCAAATGTCCAAGAGGCCACCCTCCACTGCTTTCCTACATGCATTAGCCAGAGACTTGGTGGGAATTGGAGAGGCTTGAACTTGAACAGGCACTCATATGGGATGCCAGTGCTGTGGGGTCTTGTGGAGAGGCTTAACCTACTAAGCCATAGCACTACATCCTGTTATTTTAATCTTAATAGTTTATTAATTTATTCCTGATCATTTTTTACAGCAGCTCTTCTGAGTGTTAAAACATTTACTTATTTCTAAAACCTAGATTTAAGTAATATTATAAGTTATATTTAGCAGAGGTTTAAGTGTACAGGACTTTGAAAATTATACTGTACACCTTATCTAAGATAACTGATCTGATACCCTCAGTGGGTGTCTGTTTTGACTTTGGTACTGTGATTTTTGCTACTAGAGAACCATCAGTCCAGTAAAGCACGGAGAACATATTGATAAAAAAAAATTACTAATAAGGGAACAGTTGGTGAAATAATTAAACATAGTTTATGATTATTGTAGAAGTTACCATGCCAATCTGCCAATTTAAAAAATTGGAAAATTATGGTGACAGCATGTTGGCGCAACAGTTAATGTGCAAGCTGTGACATTGACATCTCTGTGGGTACCAGTTCATGTTCTGTCTGTTCCAGTTACAATCCAGCTCCATGCTACTGCACCTGAGAAAGCAGTGAAAGATCCCCCAAGTTCTTGGGCCACTGCCAGTATGTGGGAGAACATGATGAAACTCCTGTCTCTTGGCTTCAGTGTGGCTCAGGCCTTCCCATTTACCCTGAAGTTTGTAAATATCAAATGCCAATAATCATGTTTGTAATTGTGTTCCATCTACTTCAGAGTATAGTTTTCTCTGCCTTGATTGAAGTATAAGCTTACCCAAAATGAGATGGCATGTTGCAGAGGAAGGTAATAAACAACCAGTGGAGTTCATTAAATTATTTGTGACTAACTCACCATTCTTCCTTCTTGTCTTCCCGCTTCCCCCATCTATCCTCTACTTTCCTCCTTTCTTTTTTCCATTCTCCCCCATTATTGTTTCTCTAGAAACATTCTGGATTCTGACAACTATAGTCCCATACCAGTAACAAGTGAAGAGATGTACAAGAAGGTGGTAGGACAGTTCCCATTCCAAGACACAGAGCTGGAAAAGGTAAGGAATGATTAAGAGAAGTCTCTATCTCTTCCATTGGAGCAGTTTCACTGAGATTATCACCTTCAAGTTAATGGGTTGAATTCTAACCAACTCTTTTTGCAGGCTTAGAAAAGACATATTTTCTGATCTTGGAATCTGTAGATGGATTTGGGGTCCTATCATGTCTAAAGTGTTTGGAGGACTACTGGGGGCATTACAATTTATATCATAATTCAAAATACTTGCTTTTTTTTTGGAATCATTGACATTTCCTTCCAAAAACATACAGTGAAATTTGCCCTTTATACCATATAAATCTGTTGGTTTGGCAGTTCATTAAATTGTGCATTCTCTACCCCATTATGACAGAGAGCAGTTATGCCTTCCAAACAGTTCCCTTATGCTGCCCCTTTACAATCAACTTTTCCTAAACATGGTCCCCTGCAATTCACCACCCTTGTCCCTACTTACCTACTGGGATTTTCTTCCATAGAGTCAGGTAGATGGAGTCATGTAATCTGTAAACTTTTGAGACTGATTTTTTTTTTACTAAGCAAAGTATTTTTAGTGTTTGTCCATGTTGTTACATGTGTTAACACTTCATTCTTGTCGCTGGGTGTGTATTGTGTTTTTTTTTATCCTTTCACATGTTAAAGAACATTTGGAGTATTATTTAAAATTTTGCGTTATTCTTTAGGAAAACTCTTGGGGGAAATTTTCATGAATTTTAGATTGTTAAGCTGAGTTTACAGTGGGGAAGAAAAGTTCTTTTATCTTTAAAATATATACATATTTTTAATGTATGTTCATTTGTGACTTACCTTTATTAATTCTTGTGTTTACAGCAGCCATTTCCAAAAAAGTTTCCTTTCTCTGAATTTGTGCCAAAAGTTTACAACCAAATTAAAGAATTTATTTATGCTTGCCTGAAGTTTTCAGAAGATCTTCACCTAAGGTATAAAATGAAACAGTGCAAATGAAATTGATGTTAAGATTGTGACTTTTTCTGTATGAATATCCTGAAAAGGTTTTTTCTTTTAACAAAAAATCATGAAACAGTTCCATAGGCTCAGGGATATCCTCTTCCCCCCTCCCCTTTCCTCTTCCCACGCTGCCCGTTTTCCCCTATATTATTACGACAGTGTAGTCCTTCAATAGCTGGAAAGTTTTTTTTTAACCTTAAGCTCTGATTTTCAATATCTTAAATTAATATTAGCGTCTCACTGCATAGGGACTCAGTTGTGATGATAGGGAAAGATGATATCATTTACATAATTAAAAAACATATTATCTACTTTAATCTATTTTCTTTACCAATTTACAGCTTAACCCTTGTTATTAATGAGAATTCACTAGAAAATTGTAGTATAATATGCTAATTTTACCATTCTACTTGATGAAACTTGTAAAAGAGGCATAATTGATAAAATCCTTTGGAAACATTGTTATTGCTGGTTGTATTTGTATTGGTATGTGCAAAACTACAGGTATCTTTCCTTTGTTCAATTAGTGGGCTTATATATCCTCTATACTGATTAATCTGTTATTTGTCAGCTGCTCCTTGGTAATAAAAACATTAAAAACATGAAGATGCTGAAACTTTGGTTCCTGCCTCCCAGGAGTATCCAGTGTATTTGAGGAGTATACAGTTAGTAATGAGTGCTGAGGCAATACAGGGACAACATAGTAGCCAAGTATAGCATAATTAGGAATGTTAGGAAGATTCTCCTGTTTATACCATATTCCTTGTACCCAACTCAATACCTTTATTAATAAGTTATCAGCAGTGAAAAGTGTAGTATGCTTGGCTACTTTAAAAATAAGTATAATTGGAAAATAATTTGAGTCACTTGTTTTATGCCTATTCTTACTAAGAAAAAGATGAGATTAGTTATATTCTATACATTTATTATTTTATTGTGAAATTGAGGTTGATTTCACAGGAACAGTCATTAGGAAGTAAAATGGTTCTTTAGAAGTTTTAAACCAGAATTCTGTTTTTCATCCTAGAATTTGGATCCCTTCGCTTGTGGCTCTCACATTCATATCCTATTGACAAGATTATCTCATACTAGAGAATATTCTATAAGATATTCTTAAGTATGTTGTTGTAGGTAGATTATTTTTTAATTTTGTTTTTTAATGTTTTGGTATGATTCCATAGAGTCTGAGATTTCCCTATCGCCTCCCCAAGTTCAGACCCCTAACGGTCTTTCCCCATATCATTACAATAATACGGTCCTTCATAAGTAATCAGAAGTCCATCAGTCCATCATTTAATTGTGCCCTGACATTGCTGGTACAGACAATGTCAGTCCACCATCCCATTGTCTAGATATGTCCAACAGCTTCACTGGAAGTCCATCTTTGATTTGGGAGTAGAGATGCATACTACATTGTATCTTCACATCTGAATATGATACTCTCTATTATGCCATCACTATAAATGCAAAGCCACAAAATAAAGTCAACAACAGGTATGAAGTTAAAAAATTTACAGTACCATGAAGTGTAGGTATCTTGTTACAAAATTATCTGGTGTCCCAAAATAAATTTACCTAAGACGTGGAGTGACAAGGGTCACTATGTCAGTTACAGTTATCTTATAATGGACATTAATACATGTTTTCCCACAGGTACCAAAGCAAATTTGTATCTTAAACACAAGCCAACAAAACAAGAAAATTGCTGGGTTGAGATTTTCATGTAGCTCTAAGGCTAATTATTCTCTTGCATAAATTTTTCATTTTTTTCCCTTTGAAATATTTTCTATTTTGCTTTGGCCCAAAGCTGCAGAAAATATAACTGCATAAATACTGAGCACTTAGTCTTTCTGTTTGTCTTATACAGTTTTGTTTTATTTAAAAAACAAAATTTGGGGAGTAAATTAATAATCTAATATTAATTCTTGACAAAAATAAATATATACAGATTTTTAATATCATAAAAATTAAATATTTCTGAATTATTTGGAAATTATAGAATAATATAAGGAAGAAAAATTTGTTTCTAAACTATCACATCTCAATACCATCTATACATGAAAAGTTTTTATTTTTGTTTTTCCTTTTAGTCTTCCTTCTTTGTTAATACATGCAGTTTCTAAGCACCCTGAAACATTTTTTAGCAGATGTTGTGGTGCAACAAGTTCAGCCACTACTTGTGAAACTTGCATCCTGAACTAGAGTGCTGATTTGAGTTGTGGCTACTCTGCTTGCAGTTTAACTTCTTGTTTGTGCATCTAAGATGGCAGGGGATTGTGGCACCCCTGCCACCCAAATAGGAGACATAGAGTTTTGGGCTCTTAGCTTTGGCCTGCCCCAAACATGGCTATTTGAGACATTTCGGGAATGATTGGCACACAAGAAATGTCTGGCCTGTTGGCTGTATATAGCCCATGAAATTGTTTAATCTTTCCCTGTCACAGCAATTGCAGATGAGACTCAAAATTTAATGAATATAGCAGGCTAATTTTTAAATTGTAAGTTTTTAATTGTTCAGAAATGATGTTATAAATATCCAAATAGTCCTTTTCTCAGTGGAAACAAAGGTCTCTCATCCATGATACAGGGAATACCTAAGAGTGAAGCTGGCCAGGATAAAAGAGAATGCCCTTTGAGTGCTTACTAGAAATAACTTAGGAAGAACTGAGTAACAAAAGGGAGAGAGCTAACACGACGTGTTGTCCACAAATGTGGAGAATCACACCCTTTTTTGTATAGGGAGTTAAAAAATTGTGGATATTCGAGAAACATTGTGAAAAACTCTGGAACTCAGGCTCTAGTCAACCTTTAGAGAGGTTTGAAATGTGTGATGTATTGAAGGTAACCACAGAAATAACAAGACCCAACAGCTCAACTCCCATACTAATGACCCAACAGGAAGAAAGACAGACTCATTCCCAAGCACAAACACTATTTACAGCCACCCCTGCTGTTTTATGTAAGATAGCCAACTTTCAAAAATGTCAAAAATGTAAGATGTACTAAAAAGCCGGTTAAAATAGCTTTGTCAGGGAGCAATGAAATGAACAGAAATGTACTCGGATGCCTACATGATCAGAAGTATTAGGGACACAAAAGTTTATGTGCATCTACTTAGAGGGATGTTTAGCAAGGAGATGGAAATTATAGGAAATTGCCCAATGGAAAAGTTTGAAATGAGAAACAGAATTCTTTTGAAGAATTCATCAGTAGACTTGACATTGCCATGAAAATAATTATCTATTTGGAAGACAGGTCAATAGAAGTTGCACAAATTAAAAAGCAGAAATGAAAAGTGAAATAATTAGAATAAAGTGCCCAATCTCTGGAGCACTTTGAAACTGATGGAAGAAGACTGTAGAAACAAGAAAGAAAATGTAAAGAGGCAATGATTGAGGATACTTCAAAAATATGGAAAGCCATCGCACCAGAAATTAAAGCTTTTGAGAATCTCAGACTACATAAACTTTAACATCAGCAGCAACAACAGCAACAAAAAATACTGAAGGGCATTATGTTCAAACTAGAAAAATGAAAGGTTAAGAGAAGGTTTTCCTGGCATTCAGAAAAGCAGGCAAACATTACATGCAGGTTCACACTAGGAACTATAGCTGACTTCTTGTCTGAAACTACTGTGCAAGCCAAAGACAATGCAGAAACTTTGGTGAAGTACTCAGAGAAAAAAATAATATCAAGCCACAATTCCACAGGCAGAAAAAAATACTGTTTTTAAATAAAGCCAAATTAATTTTTTTTTTGCCTGGGGCAAAGTTGGAAGAATTTGTAAAAGTACCTAGAATAGTTTCTGTTAACACCACATTATCTGCTGCTATTCCTATTATTTTTGTACAAGCACCAGTGAAACCTTGTTTGCTTTACAAAAATATTTCTACATGATATGACTGACTTTTGACACTTTTTTCCAGTTCAACGGAAATTGATGACATGATTCGTAAATCTACAAACCTGTTGCTCACCAGAACTCTGAGCAACTCTCTGCAGAATGTGATTAAAAGGAAGAATATTGGCCTTACTGAGGTAAAGATGCTATTAATGCACATGACCAAACCAATAGTCCTAAACTCTGAGCCTTATGTTTGAAATAAGAGTAATTATTGAACAATAATTTTCTATATGATCTAGAAATATTCTTCCTCATAACCTCCTACTGTGGAAAGCAAAAAATGAAATTTCTTTTTCTTTTCTTTTGCTGTTTTTGAGAAATCCATTATTTCTTAAGTCACATTTTTTTCCATTGTTTTCATTAATTTCTTTTTTTAAAAACATGCTGATGTGTCTTGTGTTACAAGTTTTAGAGAAAAAAGATTTTGGGAGGCTTGGAAAAAATAGTCAGCATCAGGTTTCTACGCATATGAGTGGTAACAGACACAACATAGTAATATTAAGTCTTTGTGTTCATCATTTGTTGATATCAAAAAGATTGGCATTCTGTCTTTGCTTAGTATCAGGTTCAGCTTTTGTTTTTTGAGATACCTCGTATTTGATTTGTAATTTTTTTTTAATCAACATGTGCTCTATTTGGCAAAAGCACTTTAGACCTAGGATTAAGGAAATTTAGGTGAAAAGCGAAAGTTGGGTCAGTGTTGTGGTGCTGCTGATTAATTCCATGTGAGTGCCATTTCTAGTCCCAGCTGCTTCATCTCCAGTTCATCTCTCAGAGAGAGCAACTGAAGATATAACCCTTCTATATGGGCCCCTGGCTTAGGCTTGGCTTAGCCTAGAACTTAGCCATTTAGGGCTAGTGAACTGGATGGTGTCTCTCTCTGCCTCTTCTATAACTCCACCTTTCAAATAAATAAATCTTTTTTGTTTTTTTAAAGAAAAGGCAGTGGTCACATTTCTAAGGGAGCTTTCTAAGGGTGTCTTGGCGGTTTGAAGATTTTGCCCGTTGATGTGTAGTCCTAAAATTTGAAAAGATATGAAATTGCCTCTCTCCTGATAATTGATGATTACATGGTATCCTCAACGTGTCATTCACTAGTATAGTGCCATAGGGCGTTTTTCACAAGCAGAAGGAAACATTGTTGACCTTCTGTTTTATCTATGAGTATAGTGTAGTTTGAAAAATTATTTCTTTTAGGGGAAAAATTGAGATGTTCAAATATACACTGTCACAAATTATGGGGAAATTCAGCAAATGTTTAAATGGTACTGAGCAATCAATAGGCAGCTGGAAGCCGGGTGGGCATGTACTTTGATTTTGGAGTGATTTTCAGGGGGTTTTTTTGCAGTAAGATTAAAATCATTGTATTATTAATTGGAATGTGGGAAGTAGTTGAATTTACTGAATAAACTTTTCCTAATTGAATTTTATCTTGGGCATAGTTTAAAATAGTCTTCTTACTTGTCCAAATTTTCTTTCTTTTATCTTATCTGGAAATGTTAGTTATTGCCTTTTCTTTCTGAACAAAAAAAAACCCTCATTTTTTATGTTTTTGCAATTTGGAAGCTATGAAAAGGAAAGGTGTCAATACTTATGAAATTCTTATGCTGCTGTTTGTACTGTTCTCTTCTGAATCTCAATTATGTCAGGAAGTTTATTTTGTGAACAGTGTCTTCATTGTTACTCTAAATATAACTTTTTTAATGCCATACTATTTAGCGGTATCTCAAAAGCCATTTTAAAACAAGTGAGGTAGTTGGAACACTGTCTAATATAAAAAGCATTGACTCTTGTGAAAGTTGTGGCTGTGCCATTGGTTTTGCACTAGCATGTAAGAGAAATAGCTAGCTTCCAGCTTGGGCTTTTCTGATACCTGTTATTCTTTACAAGAATTCTTTACAGATCAGAAAAAGGTAGGAAAAAACGGTAGGAGCTAATGAATTTGAATTGTAACCTATGGTACTATTTCATTAAATGCTATCTTATTCCCGTGAATAATCATTGTATAATTAGGAGCAACTTTATTTTTATACTCAATATCATTGCATATGAATGAAATAATACATGCATTTATTTATTTTAACTCTTTTAATAGTGCTCATAGGCATAGATATATCTACATAATTGTTTTTGTTACCAACTATAATATTTGAACATCTGTGCTACTCAGCCTGTATTGGCCCAGACCAAAGCCAGGAACTGAGAGCTCAGTCTAGGTTTACAACCTGAGTTGACAGGGAAAGATTCTGCCACTTAAGCCCTTAATGTGAGACGTTAACAAGACAGCTGCCTCCTAGGGTACACATTAGCAGGAAACTTGAATTTACAGCAAAGTCTGGCTAAAGAATTAGGCACTTTAAGCATCCTAAACCATGTCTGGAAGATTATGCCGAACACCTGCCCTTGAAATAGTTTTTTAATGAAAGAGAAGTTAAGCAATTGTAAGAAGATATTAAGATAATTTACTAATTTTTAAAATATTTATTATTTTTACTGGAAAGACAGATATATGTAGAGAGAAGGAGATACAGAGAGAAAAGATCTTCTATCTGCTGGTTCACTCCTCAAGTGGCTGCAATGGCCAGAGCTGAGCCAATCTGAAGCCAAGAGCCAGGAGCTTCTTGGTCTCTCATGTGGGTGCAGGGTTCCAAGGCTTTGGACTATCTTCTACTGCTTTCCCAGGCCACAAGCAGATGTCTGCATGGGAAGTGGTGTAGCCGAGAACTGAACCGGCACCCACATAGGATCCCAACACATGCAGGGCAAGGATTTAGCTGCTAGGCCATCGCAGTGGGTCCTATTTCTTAATTGTGCATTGTTTATTGAGGGCTTATTCTCTGCTATACTCCAAACTAAACCTTTAAGTTAATAAACAATAACACCATAGTCCTTAATTATATGCTACTAAGAGAAAACAGATAGTGATAAAATAAATAAGCAAATCATATAGCATTATAAAAGGTGGTGAATGCTCTGTGAAGAATAAAATTCCAGAAACGGGAAGCCACTGCAGAACTATAATAGGTATCATGATCTGACTTATGTTTCCAAATGATCACATTGACTTAAGTCTTATATTTTAATTTTGGTATTTAATTTTAATTTTAACTTATTTTTAATGGACCCACTGTAGTTTGTATATACAAGTCTAAGAAGATAATGTTCTCTTTATCTCTCCATCTTTTTTTTCTGATTTTTTTTTTGAGCTAATGTTTTAAATTTGCAATATAGTAAAAAGGCTTAACACTGCAGAATAAGAAGTTTGATAAGTCAAAAAGACCTCAGCTTTTGTGGGACTAAGAATGACTATAAATAATCATTGAATGGAAAAATTACCATTTCACCTACATACAGTAAATTTTAGAGCATTGAAACTATAGTAGCATACAAAATTGTATTTGCAGCAGTTTGATATACATAAGCATTTCTTTCTGTTTTATTTTTTGTTTGTTTGATTTTTAAAATTTTAACTCCCAGACATAATGAATAACATAGAATACTTAGCTTTTGGTTCCACCTTATTTCACTCAGCATGACAACAGTTTTGAAAATAATCGATTGAGTATGGAAGATCACTTATGGGAATAGCAATGATTGAGTGAAATTTGTTGGAAGCCTAAAAATTAGGGAGGAACAATGATAAGATTTTAAGTGGAGTGCCAGCATGCTTCCCAATATTGGGATGCAAAGGAAGAAAGAGAGTGAAGACATGAAGATAACTTCCATTTTTTCCCTCTCTACTTGCTATTTCTTGGTATCTTTACCTATTGGAGTATTTGGCTTGTGATTCTGAAATGAAAGGAAAATATGCAATTGTATTAATTATGGGGGGGAAGGGAGGGGCAGATGGGGAAGGAGGAAGGTGAGTGTGGTGAGAGGAGCCCTTGTGCTTCTAGATTTGTGTTGTGAAACACATGAAATCTGCATACTTTATAAAACTATTAAAATTGATTTTAAATATAAGCAAAATTTTTTTTGGTTTTGAGCAAATAGGCTCAATGTGCCATGGCTTATGATGGAAAAAAACTTCAGGAAATGCTAAATTTGGTATAAGGAATATTGTAAATTCATTTTTATACATATTAAATCTGTTGATACTAGAATGTTTTACTCAAAATGGTATTGTTTTTATGTAAAAACCTATGAACATGCTGTTGATTACTTAAACAACAATCTAATGCAATGCAAACATTATGTAAGCAGTTGTCATAGGGAACAGTGACAAGAAGAAGGCATACAAATGCAATAGAGACATGGTTTTCTCCCCAATATTCTTCCGAGATCAGACAAGAACGGGCGCATTCAGGGTGGTATGGCCGTAGACCTTCCCACATATTCTTGAACTGCAGTTGATTGATATGAGGATGTGGAACCCAGGCATGTGATCCAACTGTATATGATGAAGGAGGAGACTGGCTATGATAAATACTCCTCATAGATAAGATGAATAATTACCATAGGACTCTGTAGGGTGAAATTTGTTGGTGATTTTTTGATTAGAGCGTCTTTGACACAAAAGTGATGGGTAATGTCTGATAGAGCAGGTTTAACAGGGGATAGTTCTAAATAGATGATTTTCAAATAATTTGGGCACGAGGGCTGTACCTGTGACTTAACCCTAAAGTGTTGAGTGTGGGAGGAGGGATGCAGCAGTGAAGCAGCACAGTAAACACTGCCTCAGGCAGGTGATGAGAGCTCACACCCTTAGTGATGAGTTACATTGATAACACACACCTTTGGCACTATGTGATGAAAGAGCACTTCAGCTTTGTGGTTTCCCTTCAAAGCTGATAATCCCTGGCTACCCATGAGAAAATAATTAAACAAATCCAAATTGAAAGACATTCGATAACATATCTTGGACAGTTTGGTTCAATGATCGGTGTCACCCTATGGAAGGAAAGCCTAGGACACAGTCACAGTTCAGAGAGGGATACCAAGTGATGATGGGATTGTGAAACCAGTAAAGAATATTAAGGAAAATAATCACATCTTAGTACAGTGTTACGTTCAGGTAGCAGAAACATGCCAGGGTTGATTCCTTTGTTGTGACAAATGTACCATATTAATGTGTTAGCAAGACAGGCACCTGGGTGAGGGGTATATTTTGCATAAATGATAAAGCTATCCTAAG